ATGATTATCTGTTCAGAACACAACGTTATACAATACATCATTTGATAGATGAAAACCTTGACTTTCTATTGTTTAATAGGTAATATACAATTAAACATAAGAGAGAACTATCAATGAATTGTGAAAGAGAGGATGTGACAGGTGGGGTCTGATTTTCTATTTGATAACTCTGTAACCAAACAAAATTGAATGCTATAAAAGTTATGGTTTGTTTGAGCAATAATGATTTTACAGAGTATTTTATGTTTAATTTCGTACATTTTCGAGGGGTGATGGTTAAAATAGGGATGATGACATGGTAATAAAAATGTGTCACGTGTGTCACACTAGTGGAAATTTAGGATTTTTTTATATATTTCCTTGTAGAATTAAGAACTTAAAACTTGTATACTATTAATATATGGATTATTAGCTAAGATTTTATGCCATTCTAATTAGTATAACGTAAACAAAAAGTCATTTAATAAAATCTTGTGTCATGCGCAGTAACGGGTATCCAGGGCAATGGGGTTAAAAGATCATAAGCATATTATCAGCAACCAACCACCATCATACCAATTAGTTGATGAATATTTGGGCTTTTTTTAATGTGCAGGAAATACATCATGAAAAACTTGCCCTTCAGGAACAAGTAAACAACCAGCTCCTTCAGATTTCAGCACTGAAAGCTCGTATCGAGGAGCAGAGACATGGAGTAGAACGAGGAAGCCCTTTCTTGGTTGGAAGTGAGGCTTTTAGACAGTTAGGTCAGCTGAGAGAAGCCCTTATGAAAGAACAAGAGCAGAGGGAAGAGGTTGAGAGAGAGGTGTGTTAGGAACATTAGATTGTATTTCTCTAATTTGCTCTTTCTATTTACTACTCCTATAAATATTTCACTTATTAATTTTCTTCTTGTTTAAAGAAATTTGTATACAGTCATCTGGCAAAAAAATTAAAAGTATGTTGGATTAAATATACAGGGAACAGTCAGTATAGGATGGCTTACTTCATTAATGTCAAACATCGATCCTAATATTTTACTCAAATGCAGTATAACTCTTAAAAGAAAATGGAGATTGTCACAATTATAATTCATCAAAAGTGATCTATTCTAATCTTTGTAAAAATTTATTTTCCTTTTTTATATGGTCATTATGAATTTCTACGTCCATTATAATTTGATACACCATCTCTTTTCAATTAATAAACAATATTCTCAAATAACATATTATGGCTGAGGTGAAACAAAGAAATGTTGAGGTTATCTTAACTTTTCTTGTTGAAATTTACACCCACTATCATATCATTGCTGAGGTGAAACAAAGAGATGTTGAGGTTATCTTAGCTTTTCTTGTTGAAATTCACACCCTCTATCATATTATGGCTGAGGTGAAACAAAGAGATGTTGAGGTTATCTTAGCTTTTCTTGTTGAAATTCACACCCTCTATCATATTATGACTGAGGTGAAACAAAGATATGTTGAGGTTATCTTAGCTTTTCTTGTTGAAATTTACACCCACTATCATATTATGACTGAGGTGAAACAAAGAGATATTGAGGTTATCTTAGCTTTTCTTGTTGAAATTCACACCCTCTATCATATTATGACTGAGGTGAAACAAAGATATGTTGAGGTTATCTTAGCTTTTCTTGTTGAAATTCACACCCTCTATCATATTATGA